ATTCTGGTTTCAGTTCCAAACTCATATTGTGGAAATAATTCCAGTATTAATATAGCCCAAATATCCAACCAGGGGCGTGCTAGATACTTATGCTGCAATTTTGAAAGTTCTTTAAAATTAGCACTCACTTTAAACAAATACATTAATATATTATTAAATAGCTTTCATTTTCATAAGAAATTTTAGGGCTTAATTTGAATTTAAAAAATATTTCGTGACATTAAAATTTCCTTCCTTTTGTTTTAAGCATAGTGCGTCAACGGTCAGGTCTTATCTAACTAATGAGTCCGACTGTTACACCCAGTCCGGCATCCCAGACCGACGGTCTGGGTTGACCTAAGACCAGTTAAAAAAGTTAAAAGCTCACTATGAATTACTTATTAATTGACGTACACGTAAAACATATAATTAATTTAATTCCTAATACTCTATAATATCTCATCCATCGTAGGTTTTTTTGGTATTTTACCATATATTATATTTATTATGTTTTTCTTAATAATTCCCATTCAAAAAAGGAAAATCGTAATATTTTAAATATTTGTCAATTTTTCTTAAATTTTTATTTATTTTTGTTATTCCTTAATTTATTTCTAAATTTTTGCGATTTCTTTACGATTTTTTCTTACTGTTCTCAATTTATTTCTAACTTTATACGATTTTCTTTACATAAATTTTTCTTACTATATCTTCTCTCAATTTATTTTTCTTCTCATTTTTAATAATTCTTTTGTATTTTTAAAATAAATTTATAAATTTAGGTCCATTTTTTTAACAATTCTTTACGTTTTTTTTTCATCATACATACAATATGCTTTTTATGATTTTTTCATTGTAATCTTTTACATACATTTTTAACCTTTTCAATCTCGTCATTTTTAATCTTTATTTTTTTTGAGCATTTCTCAATTTTTTTCTTCTCATTTTTGATAATTTTAAAAATAAGAATTTAAAAATGATTATATTTTATTAATTTACATATCGTTTGGTATTACAGTTCAAACTTATTTAATTTTAAAAAGGTACATTATAACCAAACGATTAATTTAATTTAGCAATTGTAATTATATTGTCTGCCAAAAACATTAAATATTATTTTAAAAAAATAATTATCAAAAATGAGAAGAAAAAATTTAGAAATGCTCAAAAAAATAAAGATTAAAAATGACTTAAAGAGATTGAAAAGGTTAGAAATGTATGTAAAAGATTACAATGAAAAAATCATAAAAAGCATATTGTATGTATGATGAAAAAAAAAATAAAGAAATTGTTAAAAAATGAACCTAAATTTATAAATTATTTTTAAAAATAAAAAAGAATTATTAAAAATGAGAATAAAAATAAATTGAGAGAAGATATAGTAAGAAAAATAAAAGTAAAGAAAATCGCAAAAAGTTAGAAATAAATTGAGAACAGTAATTGTAAAGAAATCGCAAAAATTTAGAAATAAATTACGAAGGAATAACAAAAAAAAATAAAAATTTAAGAAAAATTGACAAAAATTTAAAATATTACGATTTTCCTTTTTTGAATGGGAATTTTCCTTTTTTGATTGACATTTTTCCTTTCCTTTTGGGAATTTTCTTTTTTCGATTGACACTTTTCCTTTGTTTGACACTTTTCCTTTTTTGATCGGACTTTTTCCTCCCTTTTTGGGAATTTTCCTTTTTTGATTGACATTTTTCCTTTTTTGTTTGGACCTTTTCCTTTTATGATTGACCCTTTTCCTTTTATGATTGAGACTTTTCCTTTTTTGAATGGGAAACCCTGTATGTCAGTGTTCTATTTCAAATCCCCTGCCTGTCGCCATGGAAGTTATTTCATAGGGCAAAAACGAGGAAATGTTTAAATCGTAGTAATTAAGAGCGATAAGTGAGTGATGGCTCAGTCGCTACTTATCAACCTTAATAACTAATAGTTAAATGATGTTTTGTTATACAAGTTATTATACGTATAAAATGCTTACATTAGATAATAGACATGGTTCATCTGCGATACCTCTATTTGATTATAGTGTTGACATTTTTAACATCTAATAACTATTGTGTCTATCTACATCAATCTGATATACATAGTGCTATAACAAGAGGAGCATCAGTAAATAACAAGATACGAGAATATTTTTCCATTCTAAGATACGATAAAAGTAAATATTTGTGTTAAAACTTGTATACACAACCACTCTTTATATACAACAAGGTATCGACAATTTAAAAATTAGAGAATTCACATATCCTCTGACTCCATTTACCATATATGGAAATATTGCCTTAGAATATGCTTTTGTTGCAGATGCCCTGAAATCCCTCCTCAAGTAAATATGATTCACTTTTACTTGTCTTATAACTTCATGTAAATTAAGGGGAAAATTAAATAAATACGAGATTGGACCCTATTTATTATCCCTTAATATATCTGGCACAACTTTAGGTCAGAAATGTACAATTGAAAAAAATTTGCGAATTCATACATGTAATAAAAATGAAAAGGAATTAGATGGATTTTGCAATAATTTAAAGAATAAACATTGGGGAATGTCAAATATGCCCCACAAAAGACTTATTGAACCCGATTATGGCGATGGTTACATAAATTTTGTTTTAACATAAAATATATTCATACAAACCTGCATTTCTAAAATAATCTCATTTTTTATCAAGGACTTAATAATCCTCGAATCGCTAAAAATGGAGGAGCATTACCAAATCCTAGATTGATAACTAAAAATGTGTTTAGCAATGTCGACAAGTTTCACAATGATATGACAGTTATTACGATGACATTTGGTCAATTTATTGATCATGATATTACGCACACTCCTTTTCCTACTGGTAATATTAATTATAAGAATAATTCCAGTCATTTAACGTTGACTGATTCAAAAATTATTTTTTGGCCAATTCCCATTCTCTATTTATATTCCGTTCGAATGCTAGCCTATGATGCTATTGCGATTATTTGTATCTGTTGGCGGTAAACAACCCTTCTAATAAAAACATTTTAAATATTAGGAAAACAATCTCCAAAACTAGATTGTTGTATATTCCAATTTAAGCACCCATTATGTTATGGTATGCCATTTCCTCCAGATGATCCTTTCTTTTCAAAATTTAATCAAACATGTATGAATGCCGTTAGATCTTTTCCAGCTTTAAGACCCGATTGCAAAATCGGTATATTAATTATTTTCTAATCTCAATAAAATCCATAGATATATATAGGTCCTCGAGAGCAAATGAATCAAGTTTCTTCATATTTAGATGGCTCAGGGCTATATGGAAGCATAATTGAAGATAATTTGGCTTTGAGAGACACAACAACACGTATTTTACATATAAAATATTACTGTTTAATTTATTATAGCTAAAATGAAAGTTCAAACTCATCCATTCAACCATTTAATGAGAGAGTTATTACCAGCTCAAGGTAATATACAAATTGAGGAGTGTATATATGCACGAAGGGCTCGTTATCATTGTTTTAGAGCAGGTAATTTTAAGGAAATGTAAAGATTCAAATATAAAAGATACATGTTTTGAGTATTATAAATTATGAAATTTAAAATAGGCGATGAAAGAAGTAATGAAAATACCCCTTTAACTGCATTGCATACGATTTGGCTTAGAGAACATAACAGAATTGCTGATTGGTTGCAACATATTAATCCCCATTGGTCTGCTGAAAAAGGGTATAAAATTAGTTTATGTTAATTTATTGACATAGGTCGATTGGTATATTATATCCACCTATTATTGATATTAAGTAAAAGTTATTTCTTATGATGATTTACTAATTAGAAGTTATTATCAATATATTACCAATAAATAATGAAAGTTTTCAAACGACAAGAAAAATTGTTGGAGCCATGTTACAACATATCACTTATAAGGAATGGTTGCCTATCTTGCTTGGACCTATAGAGATTCAAAAACACAAATTAGAATTGGCAGACACGGGTTATTTTTCGGGTTATGATGACAATATAGATGCAACAATTGCGAATTCGTTTGCGGCAGCCGTCCTGAGATTAGGGCATAGTTTAATCAAGTAAATATATTGTATGGATTTATAGGGTATTAACTTTTTTTAAATAATGTTCAAATTCAGACTTTAACTGGACTTGGGACAGAAATTTGTAAGCCCCGGCCCGAAGCAAAATATTTTTCAGACATGAAACCATAGCGCATAACTTAGTTAATTCGCAGCCCTATATTGTCAGATCGTCTTACCATATGGAACTTATAAAATTCTATTTTAAAGAAATAAAAATAAATTTAACTCTTTATCATACTATAAGAAAGTATAATTGTTTTAAGCATCATTAAAATCGCTATACCTGAATTATATTTTCTCTTTGCCTATGAGATTCTACGAAGAGTGCCAAATAAATTGGAATTTTACTTAAAATTATTAAAGTATGATGATGAATAAAATATAGTAACAGACAATCTGATACACAAGAGAGTTTAATAAAGTATCAAAGCCCTTTAGACTCCCTAACACTAAAATATAAAATGATATTATAGAATAGATACTATATGAATATATATATTGACAAATATGGTATTCCCACCCCCTCAGCTCTTAAAATTTCAATAGCGCAATTCTTTGTGTTAAGACCCTATAAAGTAAAATGAGATATATGGTCATAAATTCTCATAAAAAAATATATATCAGACCTAAAGCCCATATCTAGTTTAAGTAAAATCAGGGAGATATTTAGGGCTCAAAAACTTTCAAAGTTATCATATGAACATTTAATCTTCAAACTGAATAAAAATATTATAAAAACTCTGGTTCTTTTGGTTGGGTTTACTTAGGTTTTTTTCTCAGGTTAATTTTAATTTCTTGAGTGTTTTTATTATTATTATTATTATTATGAAACAAAATATTAAACATTTAATCGTTATGCTAGTTTTTAAAAAAATTAAGATTTCATAAAATTTATTTAAAACAGATTATCAAACTTATAATGTAAGTTATATGTTAGTTAGTAATCGGAATTAGTGTTTTCAATTTTAGCTTTATATACTAAGTATTAGTACACTTGTGCGCCGGCCAACCTTTTTTGGTTATGCCGAAAACGCCGCCATTTAAAAAAATCACGCCGGCGCAGAAATTACTTTCATATTTTATACTTTTTTATTCTAATAATTGGTCAACATCACTGTTGTAATTTTTTTAATGTCAATCAGGATTTTGATGAATTTTTATTTTCTACTATTTTAAAATCATAATTATATTGACGTCATTATAGAATTCAATAAATCTAAAATTCCAAAAGTTACCATAATTTTATATATTTTTAAAATGGATGCAACTACATTTAATAATTCTATAAATAATTTTAGTATCCAAACTCTGGATAATAAAAAATCCATAGTCTGGAAATTTTTTGGTTACTTACACTTAAAAAGAGATAATAAAACAATTTCCATAAATTCTGACAAATTATACTGCAATTGTTGCTTAGAAAAGGCTATTGGAGACGATGATAATGCAAATAAGCCATTTTCACAGTATATTTTTTTTTAAAGATTATTTTCTCATATATAGCCAAAATCTTTAATAAATTAAAATATATTTTTTGTAAATCTAGCTATAAAATTCAAAACTTTTCAATAAACATTAGCACAGGAAATTTGTTAAAACACTTGACTTTTGAACATAATAATAAAGCAGATACTTCATCAAAATCGCAAGAATTTTATATCCAAACCAAAATTCCAGGTAAATTCTAAAACCTCTAAAAATGGCTTCTAGCAAGAAATTATGTGTTATTATGTTGTGCTGACTTATTATATTTTCAATCAATTGATAATATAGGAATAAAAGATTTTTTGAAGGTATCAAATTTATAGATATATTATCTATTATAATAATAGATCTACCTTTATGTCTTTTTTGACTGAGGAAGATTTACAATAGTTGAATTTTATAGCCATGCTAACAATATGATTACACATAGACATATATGATTTAAATGATATTGGATAATTGCATATTTATTTGTTTTAATCATCTCTGTTTTTGTGTAGCTTTGCAACCCAGAATAAATTTTTAACAAATTTATTCTTCTTGATAAATTCTCCCTAATTTGTTGTCTAATATAAATTTAAGATATAATGATTTTCTGTTATAAATTTCAAAATATCGATTTTAGAGATATCAAGTTATCAATTCTAATTTTGATTTGCCAGACAGGACAACACTAAGCTGTACTGCTCTTAATGATGTTTACCTAGCAATGAAAGCACATGTACAAGAACAAATTAACTCAGGGCCAAAATTTTGCTCAATTACATTTGATATGTGGACAGATCAATACAGAAGGAAACTATATTACATTTAACATTTAATAAATGATAATTTTAAAATGATTTACTTTACTTTAGCAACCATGATATAACCCAAAAACACACAGCTGAGACTCTAACTGAGATTGATAAAATAGAAGAGGAATTTAATTTAAAAAAGAAAAAAATACAAATGGTCATATTTGCTGGGCCTAATGTTAGAAAAAGTGTTCGATTAGGTGAATATGAACACCACTTATGTTTGGGTCATGGTTTACACAATCTGGTTACAGTAAATGGTATTAAAAAGGTACATGCTGAAAATCTCATCAAAAGAATTAGATAAATTATTACTGCTCTAAGATATAAAACTGCAGAGGTTGAATTTGAATTCGAGGAAGATCAAAGAAAATGCTTAAGTACAATAGATTTAACATCAGACATGTTAGATCTTGACAGCACTGATCTATACCCAGATACCCGTTTTTAAATTGGCAATTCCAGTGATAATAACAATAATTCCACGCATATGAAAACCTTAAAATTAAATGTCCCAACACGTTGGCATAATATATTAATTATGCTAGAAAGCATATCTGGATTAAATAAGAATTTAATTACTAATGTTTTGAAAAGAATTGGGAAGCACTTTCTCAAATTATCAAACTATAATTCTGATCTGGTAGAAGAACTATTAGCATTTCTTTCAAAATTTAAAGAAACTGTCGAATTTCTATCAGTACATAAGGGCCTACTTTAAACTTGGCGTTACTTTTAGAAGTGAAATTGAAACACATTTAATAGTAAATGATAGTGATAGTTCTGAAATCATTTCACTTAAGGAAAATATGCTAAATAAACTTGCGTTACGATTTCCGGTTTGTAATCTGCAAGTAATAATATATATGTATATATTCTTTTATTTTTTATTTAAAATTATCTAGGTATTGGCTTCTCTTTTAGATCCAAGATTTCAAAAATTGACAATTGTGTCAAAATATTTAATAGAGCAAAATTACTCAGCTTCAGAATTTATAATAAAGCATCTTAAACTTATAGAGAATGATGATAATCAGGTAGTAAATATAGCTAATGAGGATCAAGAGGAATTATTAAATTCAAGTAATTTGACAAAATTGGCACATATTCAACAAACATAAATTATGATTCCAAGTTAAGTGACTTAGAATGAATGCCACAATTTTTTTGGAAAACGACATTCACAAGATGTGGACGTTCTAAATTTTTGGAAAGAAAAGAAGAGTGAACTTCCCAATCTTTCCAGGCTCGCCAAAAAATTCTTTGCATTTCGGCGACTAGCACACCTAGTGAAAGAGTTTTCTTTACCGCTGTATTGACGTTAAATTCAAGGAGATCATCATTATGTCCCGAAAAACTAAATAAAATAATTTTTATACATGATAATTATAAAATTACGAAATCGAGATTTTGTTGACGGAAGCTAAAAATCGGCCATCCGCCGGTCGTCGATTAGATTTTTGAAAATTGCGCCGGCCGTCGATAGTTTTATCGGCGCACAGGTCTAAGTATTAGTAATAATAATATTTGTCAGAAGGGTGGCCTATAAATAGATTCAAATTTAATTTAAAAATGGCTAATAACAAAAAGTTAAAGATAAGATTTATATAATTCTATATTTATCCCAATTATTATATTCAATGAAACAAGTTAAGGTTGGCGCACTACATTTGACCTTGAGTATAATGTGTTAAATGCCATCAAAAATTAAGTAATAACAATAAAATTAACAAAATATATATTTTGAAAGCATAATATTTGTGAATTATAAAAGCTTATTTAAAATTTGAATTTATGGAAATGTCATTATAATAGTATTCACATTTGAAATACAAATATTATTAAAATTATTGCATCGCAGATACAGTGAGCCATTCTGGATCCTTATTGATGATAAAAGAAATAGCTAGATCATGTTATTTCCCCATTATATGAATAGAAAGAGTAGATGTAATTTTCACCTATTTCACTTTTTTTGCATTTATAACATAAGAACATTTATTTCAATAGCAAGAAATTAATATTTATCAAATCTATATAAATTTAGCAACGAATTCCATAGGATTGGATATTTAGGAATTTTTCACTCTTCAGTGCCACTTAAAAATACATTAAGATCACCGAGGACTGTATATTTATCAGAATTTCCAGAAGGAATAGATCCTCTTTTAAGGGGTTTAGTTCGTCAGTCTGCCAATACAATTGATCACAATTTTGCTGAAGATATAAATGAACACTTATTTCAACATGAGAGCAAAGGATACGGTATAAACAAATAATAATTTTATAAACCTATATAACACCAACTTACTTTCATAGGTATGGACCTTCTAGCATTAAACATACACCGAGGAAGAGATCATGGAATACCTGCTTATAATGAATTTCGTGATATTTGTGGTTTAAAGAGATTTATCAATTGGGATGACATGAAAGAGGCTATGCCTTCAGATGTGGTTGAAAGAATGAGAGCCCTATATAAGTCTAACTTATTATACATATTATGTTTACATGTCAATACTTTTAGTGATGTTGATGATGTAGATTTATTCCCCGGTGGCATCTCCGAATATCATGCGGAAGACGCTGAAATAGGCCCGACATTTGCTTGCCTTTTAGGGGATCAATTTTTCAGACTACGATTTGGAGATAGATTCTGGTATGAAAATGCTAATCGTAGTGATGTAATCGAACACGCTTTCCTTCCTGGTTTGATGATTATTTTAAAGATAAAATAAACTAATGTAGGGAATATCGGGGCTACACGGCAAGTGTTTTGCTCTTTTACGATAACATTTTAATTTCATTTTAGAGGATAAAACTAATTATATCATTGGCTAGATTATAAAATATAAGAAAACGGGGTTTTCTATTTATTACACTGTACGTATTATTTGAGGATAAGTAAAAGTAGTGCTTTTTACTATTTACCAACGACCCTAAGTAAAATGGCAAGCCTATCCGGGGTAAGATGGCAAATATTAAATTTAAACATAAAATTTTTCATTTTTATTGTTATAATTATCAATTTTAAAAATTATGAATATTTTTTAAAAAATTAATCTTTACAATATGGGCACATATAAAATGGAACATGCCTACCACAACTTATACCCAATCAGGACATTTGGTACACTCTATCCAGTCTTCGCGTTATTTTTATTATGATTATAACTTTTGCTGCACATTACACAATTCCAATTTGTGTTTTATTTTTATCATTTTTGAATTTAATAAAAAAAATTTTATCCAATTTAATTCTTTTATTTGCCATTTTATCCCCTGACGTTTAGCCCCGTGGATAGTGTTGACCTAAATGGTTATAGAAACCTTTATAGATGAACTAGTAACTTCGGGCCAATTAATCCTTAGCTTAGATCTTGGGTAATATGATAGATAACAATTTGAAGAAGTATATTTTCCTAAAAAAAAAATACAAAAGAAAGGTTGTTGAAAATTGGCTAAAAAATCGTTTTTGATATATATTTTTGAATAAGGAGCTTCCCTTATTAAATGAACATATGTAGATAGTATTTATAGATGTACATCTTTTCACCAAATTTGAAACAATTAGTCCTATAAAGAAAAAAAAAGTTAGTTTTGCCTTTTTACCCCACCTGTTGGATAGCCCCGGTCTCCCTTACTAGTGTCAGATCTGTTAGAATTTTTTTTGAGGAGAGACAATTTTTTATATCTTAAAAAAAATTCTAAAATTCTTGGAGTCATTATTGAACATCTAAAATCTATCAGAACTAGCGACTATATATAATTGGCAATTTTGAATACCTAAATAATGTATAAAATAAGTGTTTACAGTGGTCCAATCCGTTCAGTTTGGTCTTATCTGACTTTTGAGTCCAACGGGACGACCCGGTCCGGAAACACGGCCCAATAGTCAGGTCCGGTCAGACCGATTAAAGAAACTAAAAGTTAACTATGAACTGTTTTTTAGTTAATGCACATGTGCAAGAACACAAAAAACATGATTATTTAATGCCTAAAACTTTTTAATATCTCATTCATCGTTTACTTTTTATATTCATCCGTTTCATTCAATTCATCCATCAAGTAATTTAATTTATAAGGGTAAGTAGTATAATATTTTTATTTATTTATTTTATTGATCATTATTATTTAAGGAATAGCCAGGGATAAGCTCACAGATATTGGGACATCAGAGAAAGCTGAGAAAGATAATATAAATGAAATCCAAAGCTATTTATCTGATATTTTATATCCAATTAATTCTAAAATACTAGATTGGTGGGAAGGGAATCAATATCGATTTCCAATTCTGGCCAAAATAGTAATGGACTTTTCCCACAGCAGGCTACATCACTAGCATGTGAACGATATTTTCCAAAGCTAGTGATAAAATAACAAAAAAGCTAAATAGAATGAATCCAAAGATGGTTCAATCTCTAATGACACTTGAATCATGGATAAGAAATGGAATAATTTTTGATTTTTTAGAAGATATATATAAATCAGTTTTATTTTATAACCAAATATCTACAAAAAACTAATTAAATAAGCAAATCAAATTGATTTAAATTATATCCAATAAATTTATATTAGTTTAATATTCTTTTGAAATATTAGGCATTTGTATTGTATAATATAATAAAAAATGATTTGATGATATAATTAAAATATTGGTAATTTAACATTTTACATTTTTAATAAATTTAATGCAGAATAAATATTTTATAGCTTAATAAAAAACAATTTTTAGATGGGACCGGACCGATGATCCCACGGTCTGATCTCACTTGACCTGGTCCATAGGTATGGCCTTATTTTTGAAAAAAGGACCGTACGGGACCGAATCACTATGTAAAATTATCTAAAATTTAGGCACAAAAATGTTCTGATGTTTTGGCTAAAAACTCGTATTTGCCGTTTTTGGAATAGGCTAAAAATGGAACTACTACACTATAAAATAAATAAGTGCATAAAATTATATAAAAATTAATCATTTATTGAGCATATAAAACTGGCAAGCTATTATGAATTAAATATATGCAATCTCCGATTGAGCTCATTTTCAATGATTTCATTAGTATTTGATGTAAAATCAAATCCCTGTATAGTTAATTACTATTAGAAAGGTTAATTCATTCATAAAGATGCACATTTCCCGGGAAACTATAATTGAGGGAATGAAATTTATGGAAAAAATGGAAAATAACACAACGGGAAATTTTAATTAAAAAATTATTTAACAGGTCAATATTGATTTTTTTCATGTTTTTCAAAAATAAATAGACTATTAATATGTTATCTAAACAAATTTTATATAATTTCAATTATTTAATTTTGTTATCTTCGTTTGAAACGATTCCAGATCTCTAAAATCAAATTTGTCATTTATCTCCCAACATCTAAAAATGTTCATAACTTTAATCCTTTATCAACAACTTCATTGTTTTTAAAATTAAATCCGCAATATCTTGGGTCAAGTATATGAGTAGGGAAATGATGTCCCAGCCACAAAAAAAATTCCCGATTTTCTTTATAAATTGTTCAATCTCTATAATTTCATTCCGTAAGAGATTTCCCTTATATGAATAAATGCTTGAGGAACTCAGATGAGTTTGATTGTCTATTTCGACTTCCTCTATTTGTGTAAAAATTATTTTATAAAATTGTATAGATGTGCAGATCATTTAAAAAACTTCATTATCAAGAAGATTAAGTCTTTTATCTCTACAAAAATATAAAGTATTGCCTTAAAAAAAATCTATATTTTTTAACTATCATACCTATACTGTCCAAGTGGGCTAGGCAACTTTAAAGATATTTGTTCACTCATCACAATTTATGTTTTCAACTCGACTCAAATAATTTGTAAAATTCCTCATCGTTATTTCCCATAATTTCTTTAAGCTCTAATACAATAATTTCTGCGGCTTCCGTGTAGCCAGGCAATTATGAAAGAGAATTCATAAAATACTAGTATAATTAAGATTATCTTATCAAGTCCAATGAGGGGTGGCCTTTTGAGATGTTTTTTTGAAGTATTCTGTAATTTCACTACGAGCACTTATAATAGGATCCTCTAATTCCATAAAGTGACTTGGTGGTAAAAATCTTAAGTCTGTATTTTCGCGCTGAAGAAAGGTTTGTTGCCCCTTTTTAAGATAGGCGTTTATTCAAAACATTCATAACTAGCTACTTATTGGGTTTTTATCTCTGATGAGTAATAAATATTTATAGGTAAAAATATAATTATCATTGATAATTATTATCTTTTAATATGCATTCATATATTAATTCGCTCGTTAATTTGTTTTAAACAGAATATATAGTGATCTTAGAATGATCATTTTGCCAGTATTATAATAATATATCAATAAGTAGTAATTATAATTTATACATTCTATTCTTTTATAATATAGATCAATTACAAGAATTAAGGAAAGTATCATTGGCGAAAGTTTTATGTCAAAATTCAGATAGCATAACTATAATTCAACAGAACGTCTTCAGAAAACCTAGCTTCAAGTAAAGTTAATAAAATTAATAAGATGATATATCATGTCTTTTTAAGTAACCCATTATTAACGTGTAAAGACTTGCCTGACATTGATTTAGCAGCTTGGAGGGAAAAAAGTATATTTTAAAAAACAAAAATATCTCTTAAAAATTAGAATTTTTTTTTACTAAATGAAAACAGCTCAACAGGCCATTTTTCATTTAATTAAATCTATATAAAATATTTTGTATGAGTGTTCTCAAAAAAAAATTGTTTAAATTTTAAATTTTTAATCATATTATTGTTCTTTGTCCTTTGGTTTTAAAAAACCACGGGCAAGCAAACGGGTTAAACCCCACCCATTGCAGACCTCTATATTATATATTTTTAACCAAACAAAAACTCCCGATTATTGCCGGAGGGGATAGGAAATTTTTTAACTCTAGTAGATTTTTTGGTTAAAAAATAATTCGAGACTATAAAATTATTTTATCTTATTCAAAAAAAATTTAGTTAATTAGGTTAATCAAAAATTGTAAAACAAACATTATTAATATTATCATAATTCTAAATAAAAAGAAAATATAAGATTGTATGTCAATTGGAAACCTTCTCAGCCAAAAAATAAACTAAATTAGGCTAATAAAATATGATAAATTTTTATTTAAATTCGAAACGGAAAAAATTATCAAAAAGATATAATATACAATAGGTATTCAGGATTTAGAAAATGTAAGTATATTAAAATAAATTTCAAAATAAAACGTAAATATCTTATAAACATATATTTATATTTTAAGAGGCAAGCTCAAATATTTTAAAAAATTTTTAAATTTATAATATAAATATTATATTATACATAATTTTCGTTTACTAATTTTGAAGGACGGGTCAAGGCTGCGAGCAACCATGGTTACAAGATTTTTCAGGGATTCGAACCGAACCCGAACCCGGAGAAGTGAACCCGGGTTTTTAGAAAAAAACTCTGAACCCGAACCGAACCTGAACCCCATTTATAAAATTTCCAAAACCCCGAACCGAACCCAAGAATTTTATTTGAACCCGGGTTCAATCGGGTTCAGTGTATTATTTAAAATCATATATTAATATATGTAAATACAAATATTATATTTTCAAATTTCCAATTAAATGAAGTCTTAATAAATTTTAAACAATTTAATTCATTTATGCCATTTTTAAATTTATTCTCGATTCCTATTGGAGTGTTAAAAAATTTTAAACAATTGAATTAATTTACGCCATTTATTTTTAAATTTTTATCTTATTATTCTTAAAGATTATTAATTAGAAGAAAATGGTTAACAAATCAAAGTAAAAATTATTATATTGTTAATTTAAAAAATTCTAAACATCTAACTTAAAAATTGTTAAATGTAGGGCAGTTTTTGTGAACTTATTAAAATGATTTTAAAATTTATATATGCTAATCATTTATTTTTGGTTTAGTTTAATTTTTACAAGATATTAATGAAGTGCATATTATAAATGAAATTAAATTTATAAATATCTCTTTTTTAATTCTGAAATCATTGCTATTTAAAAAAATTGTTCTCTTTTTATAGATTTAAGATTAAAGATAAAGTCATATTTGATAAGCATTTTACCCTTAATAAAATAGAAAAAAAATCAATATGTTTATATTGCAAAGTAAAAATGTCTGGTAATCACTTGTCAAATTTAGAAAGACACCTGGAAAGAAATCACAACAATGAATATTTAAATTATTTAAATGAAAAAACCAAATATCAGGAATTGTTATTGGCAAAAAAACCTAAAATTAATATAGAAACCTTTTTTCCAAAAAAGCATATAAGTATAAATATATCATCTAATGATTTGATGAGTTCTATACTAGAACTTGTTACTGTAAATGGCCGGCCTTTATCAATTATTGAAGATTCGGGATTTCAAAGAATTATAAATCCACTCCTATCTGGGCTCAATTTAGTTATAAACAAAGAAAATTTATCCAGAACTATTAATAAAACAGCCCAATCAATTAGAGACAAAATATCGAGAGAGGTAGAAGGAAAATTAATAAGTTTAAAAGTTGATGCAGTTCAACGACTAGATAGGTCAATTCTTGGTGTAAATATTCAATTTATATCAAAGTCCATTATAAATTTGAGGACTCTTGGAATTGTAGAGCTGAAAGAGAGATGTACAGGAGAATATATAAAAGAGAATATATTAAAAACTTTACTAAAATTTAAAATTAATATTCAACAAATATACACAATTACTTCTGATAATGGTTGTAATTTTTTAAGAGCTATAAAGCTCCTGCAACCTGAAACTGATTATGATATAAGGAGTGAATCAGCAGATGAGGAAAATATGGATGTAAATGTATATAAATATGATATTGATGATATACAAAATACTTTTTTATCAACTATTATATCCTATCCGATTTATAGTGTACGGTGTGCACACACTTCAGCTGGCACTTCAAGATGCTATAAAATTATCACCTATTGTGGAAACCATTGCAAAAGCTAGGAGCCTAAATTTAAAATTAAGACATCCCACTTACCAAAAGTTATTAAAAAATATGAAACTCCCTAAGCCTGTGTTAGATTGCCACAGATGGCATTCAACCCATGATATGTTAGAAAGGCTGATTTTACTAAAACCCAATATCGAAGATTTTTTTACAGAGCAATCTGATTATTTATTGACTGAAGATTGGAAAGAGATAATAACGATTGTTGAAATTTTAAAACCGCTAAAAATCGCAACCAAACAATTCCAATCTGAACAGTTAACACTGACAGATTTTTATGCAGCATGGTTAAGATGCTGCATCGAACTGGAAAAAAATCCAAACCATTTTGCTCAATTACTATATTCTTGTCTTAAGAACAGAGAAGAAAGGTTTATAAAGAACGAAATTCTCTTAGCTGCCATATACCTGGGCCCAAGATACAAGGTTAATTAAAAGCTTAGTAAATTAATTATTTTAGATTTATATTAAAATTGTTATTTTATGAAATATTTAAATATAAACAATATAAATCCTTAAATATTACAGGTATTACTTAGTGATGATGATAAGATTTGTGCGAAAAAACATCTTGTCAATTTATGGAGACGAATTAAAAGCTTAACAACGCCAATTTTATCTGATGATATTAGTTCCGATGAAGTTATTGAACAAGAAGATGATTTAGAGAAATTGATACAACTTAAAGAAAGGCAGGAGAAAATACTTAAAAGAGGGCCAACGATTGCTGAGAAAAGTATTGGAACAATAATTACTGGATTTAGCGATTATATAAGATTAGATAAGAAGGAAAATATTTTGCATTTTTGGGAGTCTGCTAAGCTGGAACACCCTGAATTATATATTTTATCTATAATCTTATTTGCTGTTCCTGCAACCCAAGTTAATTTTTCATATTTTCACATATAAATACATTTAACATAGGTTAGCGTTGAAAGATCTTTTTCACATTTGAAATTCATTCTTTCACCACATAGATCGAGGATGAGTGAACAACTCTTGGAAGATATTATGCTAATACGTCTAAATAAAATTTTTAAAATTGATACATGACTATATGCTTTGTATTTTTAACTATATTTGCCTATAAATAAAATAAAAAATTTATTTTTTATATCAAATTTATGTCTAGTTTTTTATTATGATTTAAATATAGAATTTTTTTTATCAACTCAAAAATTCTTGAACCCGAACCGAACCCGAACCAAACCCGGGTTCAAAAATATTTCCCTGAACCGAACCCGAACCGAACCCAACTCTTTTTTTTATACCCCGAACCGAACCCGAACCGAACCCGGTCTAAAATTTTGTCGGGTTCGCATCCCTGAGATTTTTTATTTTTATGGGATTATTTCGTAGCCAATTTTTTTTTAAACATATTAGTTTTTTTATAATTCTTTGCATTAATTATATTAAAAAGATATTTTTCGAATTTCTATATTTCATCGATAAAAATCGTATTAGGTTTAGCTACCAGAATTTAAAAAAATATACATCCGCGTAATTCCAAATGCATAAGAGAACATTGATAATAAAATAAGGGAAATATATTTTTTGTTATTGAAAAAAATATTTTAAAGTAGGTTGAGTTGACTTTCCTTTATTTATTATATAAATTTAAAAATTTAACACAATATTAAACATTTATACAGAAGTATAATTTAATTTTTAACTCGTATTATAATACATAATATAGCTAATTCAAGGGAAAAAATAGGACTGACAGAAAAAGAATCATTAATACTGAAGAATATCATTTAATTTTGAATTTATATTAAAAAAACTTAATCAATAATAATGCAATTTTTTATTACATGGAGAAATAATTATTATTTAATATTTATATTTTTTGCTATATTTAATATATATTTGTGTTTTTGACTTAAAAAAGGAAGTAAATTAAAAATGTGTGGTATTGACCAGTATAATCCTAAAAACTAAACAAACATTTTTTGGTTAAAAATTTATAATTATAAATTAACAATATTTTTATCATATTATTATAGCATTTCAATTATTTTTTCAAAAATATGAACATGTTAATCCAATTATGAAAATCCTTGCTGAAAGAGTTGTGTTGGCCAAATATATTTTGCATTTTTTATTGTATCTGTAATCATTATTTAGATTCGATATTAATACTTTTTTTATATTAGCTTTTAAATAAACTTTATTTTTCGAGGTTTCTTAGACCAATTTATTAATATCTCTTTCTCAGAGTTGTTAAAGTAGTGTGCTACCTTTTTTGTTTACCAAATAGCAATTGTGTTCGAGCTCTACTTTTTAGAAAGTAATCAAGTAGTGCCCTACTTTTTAAAAAATTTGATGAATACAATTATAAACACGAAATTTTATTATCAAATTTTGAAATTTTTTTTTTGAATTTAAAATTTTAATTTAAAATGAGCGCATAAAAACTATTAAAACTATAAAAAATTATAAACATATATATATAATATAACTTTAAATTACAAAAACCAAAAAAAGGAACATGTCATCCTGAAAATGAGTGAATGCTTTGGATCGGCAGATTTTGAAAGAAATCGGCTGAATCATTTGTTGGGGTGATATTTATATTTTCGAAATATTTTTAAATGCCTAGGTAAATGAATATAAATTTAAGTGAGTCATACACAGATAATATTAACGGAATGAAACTAGAAGATGATATTCTTGGTAGCAATATTATCAATTTCCTTTTTCATTTGAAAATTATTTCAACTTAATGGAAAAACTAAATTTGAAGAAAATTACATCATCTCCTAGCAGTTCCTTAAGGTATAATTTGTTTTTACATTTTGATAGTTTTTACTTTTAAGAATGTTTGTGCCAACCATTTCATGGAGATAGAAAAATATCTGAATAATTTTGGTATAGAAGTAACGACACCAAAAAAATTTTTATTCAAACCACATTCTTTAATTTGGTACATATTCAGATGTTTCTCAGAAAATGACTGATAAAGACATTGTCACTTTTATAATTGATAAAGTTCAGCCACCCTTGATTGATAATTTATCATTTATTATTATGATTAAAACTTTATCTTCTGGTACAAATATTTTTTATCGGCAGATATTAATCATAAGAAAATTATTTTATTATATTAATTTAAGTCATTTTTATTTAAATTCTTTTATAACATTAACTTTATTGAAATAAATTTTTAAATGATTTCGCTTTTTTCTAGTCTTGTCTATTATTTGTGGCTTCTAATGATCTATGATAATGTCTTCTATAATCATAATCATACGATTTCTTGTCACGATCATGATAAACGAAAAAGATCTTTTATAACGATAACGTTCTCTTGCAACGATATATATCTCTTGTAACGATACCGATATTTGTATATCTCTTTTAGCTATAACGATCTCTAGCACTATAATGATTTCCTGTAGAGATAACGATAACGATCTCTAATCATGATAACAATCTCTTGTAACTAAAACGATTAATTCTATACTTTTTTCTTTATCATGCGTTTTCTAACTATAGTTTCAAAAATTTGCTTTTCTTTCCTTCTAACCATTTGCCCAGATATTGATTCTCTTGTTTATTTATATTGATTGATCTTATTCTTTTGTCGTAAGGTCTATCGTCATTTCATCTATCTCTTCTCCCCTTTTTTCAGAATTTCCTATTTCGTTAATTAGACTGAAGTTTTAATAGCACGTATATAATTCGGCACCACTGTTATATTATGACACAGGTTATGAATTAAGAATCTAAAGGATTTTAAAATTAATATATTATACAAAAGAACAGCAATTAAAAAAAATTAAAACTGTAATTTTATTTTGTTTAATACAAACGTGAAAAGTTACTAATTTACCTATTTAAACATTTATAATATCACAATAAATTTAACAATTAAAATTTGCATACTAAAAAATCCTTCAATTACAAATAACGACCTAACCAATCTACATTTTATAAGTAACAACATAATTAATTTAAAGTAACCTAGCTATTTTCAAAATGGTAGCTAATGGCCCGCTATTTTTTTAAGTAGTGGTAGCGTGCTGCCTTTTTTGAAAAATAACGATAACAGTAACGCTCTACTTTTGAAATTAGGGTTTAACAACATTGCTCTTTCCTTCCCCTTTTTTATTTTAGAATTACACAAAAATTTGCATAATCAAGATCAAAAAATAAAATTACACTTACTTTACATATCTATATCATTAATTGTTTATTGAAAATATAATCATAAAAATTTTTTAAATCTTTTACAAACTATTAGTATAATATAAAATTAAATAATAATATTTAAATTGAGAACATTATGTGTAATCAATAAACTGTATTTGGCTTAATAATAAAGTGTTATATGGTAACGGTCTAGATTGCGGTGATAAGATCGTCATAGTTTCTTTGTCCATTTTAATATCCGTACTTTTAAATAATATTTTTAAAAAAAGGAATTAATTAATTTAAATATATGATTAAATGGTATTGGCATGATTATTATATAAAGCCGATATCAGCAGGCTAGTATTTGGGCCAGGCCTGAAAACTAGTGTCTACCGGTCTCGGTAGGTATATCAAGATCTTTTATACGTAACTTCAAAAAAAAGGATCATCTCCAACTGTTATTTTAAAAAAAAAATAAGGACAATTATTTTCGATTTCATATTTTTATGTTTTCATTCATGGAAGATTTAGGAATTTTACTAAGTATATCTCGCTAAGTTTAAAGTTAGGATTAGGTCCAGCTTTATATTAAATAAGAGTTTTTTATTTTTAAAAATATCATAACAGAAGTTTCTTAAACTAAACGTCAATTAATATTTATATAAGTATATATAATGATATTTTTAAAGGTAAGACATCGATTATACCATTGAAGAAAATTATTTTAAAACGATATTTAGTTTATTAAAAAGATTCACCAATACCACCTTTTTAGCGAATACCGATATCCAAACCTATTAAAGCCGATACAAAAAATAATAATGTTGTACATTTATTGAAAATCAATATTATCATTTATAATTAATTGGTCTGTGCTGATCCATAAATATTTTACCAATCTGATCCGATATCGGCCCCGATTTCATATATTGCCTAAAATTATGATATTCGACTACTAAAAACAGTATATTAAATTAATAAAAATTATCTTTAAAAAAGGAATTGTTACATGCATATGAAACCAGCAACATTTGCATTTAAAATATCTTCTTCGGAATCTGTTTGAGCCATGCTTAAGGAAGCTATATGATGTAGTAAATCGAAACCTTTATTTAAAGAAAAAATAAAGTTTATTTTAAAGTACTAATCTATTTAATCAATACTAATTTGGATATTAAAATCTAATGGAATTATAAAATTATATAGATTAGTTATAGATAATCGTATAAAAAATTAGATTTTAAAAAAATTGACTATGAAATATTAAAAGAATTGATATTTAAATAAATTAGCTATAATTTTGATTCCACAAATGATATTTTAAATATTATTGGTTAAATAAATAAATTTCTTTAATTTAACGTGAAATTAATTAACTGGGTTTAGTAAGAAAAAGGGACATATTTTGATCCTTGACTTTAACCCCAAGAGGTAGACAAGAATCGGGTAATATTTCATTTTGCTTGTTGCCTATCCGGTAAAGTTTAACTTCGTCAAACCGAACTTCAAAAGAGTGAGGAAAAAATTTCCTATCGTTAAGGAGAAGTGAGGAGATAGAACTGTTGTAATGGCTATGACCATAAAAATATTCCTTGATCCTTTTATCTCTGCATTGACTTCTGTAAGTTTTGGTTCGGCTTACGATCTGGAAGGAATCAATTTATAGTAAATTATGAAAGGTCAAAGAATTATTGATATATTTATATAATGTTATCTTTAAATATTTAATTAGTTACTATTTTTATGCAATTATGAAATGTATAATTTTTAAAAAAACTTAAAAATCGTTAATTAAAACAATTATTTAAAATTTTAGCAAATGGGTTTTTGGAAATTTTAACGTATGTTACCATCACCGGTAATATTAGAAATTAGCCAACATGTGCATCATAGTCAATATATAAATTAAAAAATTACTTAAAGATTCATGGCAAAATTGTCTAAAATTTAAAGGATAGGTATTTTACTATTGGAATATATTTACAACAAAATTTCATTTTTCAAATTTAAAATAAAGTCATTAAATTGCCGGAATTTATTTAAGTATGCGTAAAATATAGCTTGACTAAGTTAATAAACGCATTGCCTGATTACCGGCATTGCCAGTAACATGTATATGGTGAATTCCATAACAAATCAATGAGTTTCAATCCGACGCCCTCAAATTTTTCTAAAATTTTTACTAGAGTTTGCATTTATTATAACCAAGAAAAAAATAAAATTTTAGCCTCCAACTCCAAACAGCTGCTGACATATGGGCCTCTTAAGGTCAAAAAAATGTGACATTTTGTCCAAAATGCACTCATTTTAATTTTTAATATCTTTCTATATATTTGAGCTAGAAGCGTCATATAAATTTATTTATAAAGCCTAATAGTGCTTACAAATTGAGCGTTGCAACGCTCCGTTTTAAAATCTAATAATGCATTTTAAATGGTATTGTGCAAATTGGATTTTTTTACGGCAAGCGTTAAAAAAAAAGCAATCTGGTTTGATTTTTTTGTGCTTTTTTATTTTTGCGGGAAAATTTAAATGGATACAAAAATGTAAGTATAAATTTATCTCATATATTAATTGATATTATAACATTTAGAATATATAAATTTATATTTATATAATTTTAGAATATATTAAATGATATTTTATATAATTTATTCATTTATATTTATAGCCCAGTGGGTCAAAAGTAAATAGACTTGTGGAGGAAAGGCTCTTGGCTCTTTAGGAAAAGGTGCCATCCGAGAGCCAGTAAAATATATATTTTTATCTATAAATTTAATATAATTTTAGATTGTATCTACTATCAATGGAAGCAGGCTTAGAAAGCATGGACCATAATAATAGATACCTCTTCAAAAGTGAGACATCAAGATTGTATCATAGTTTGATGTTGCAATCTAAATATCAAACTAATGTTGAAATATCTACTTCAACAGAAACACCTTCAAATGATACACCTTTATCTTTATTTAATGATATAATATCTTAAATATTTTTGTATTGTAAATATTTTTTTTTTATATATTTATAATAAAGTAATATTCTATATTATAGTGTCCATTTTTGAAAAAAATATAAGCTAAAATTTGGGAGCTATTAAGATGTAGTAGTGTGTATATATATTATAAATTTTGAAACAATAATTATTTAGAGATCTAAATTTGAAGCCTTTCTAGGATTTTAATTCATTTACATATTTTTTTAATCTAAAAAATACCACTATATTTTAAAAAGATTACAAGCTAGGATAAGTATAAATCTAATGTATCCTTGCATTTTTTTTAACCATAATTTAGCCAATATTATCTTCAGAATATGTAAAAAAAATAATAGTGTTTGTAATTTTAAGATATTGACCTTTTATATAGATAACTTTTATGGTTTATTGAGCCAATATTTTATTTTGACATCACCTTATGTAAATATAATAAATTAAATGAAATAAAATTGTATTATTTTAATAAGACATTTAATACTCTCTTACATGTTCTAGTGATCATTTTTATTCTTAAAGAAAGAAAAATATATTTAAAATTTTTCTATCTGCATTATTTGTTAATCTATTTATTTTTATATAATAGATATCTTATTCTATTTAAGGTGAATATATATAAATAAACAAACTTTTATAAATTTATTTAGCATTTTTATTTAAATATATAGATTATTATAAATATATTAAGGTAGGATAAATAAATAAATTTACAAATGTGTGTAGATTTTTTTAAATACTATACATTAAAAATCATTTATGAATTTAAAAAATCTTTGAATAAATTTCTATCCATGAATATTTTAGTAGTCTTCCTTCTCGTCTTAGTAGATTTTGGTTTTTTAATAATTAAATATAAAGCAATAATTTGCTTATCTTGTAAACTTAATATGTCCATATTTTAATAAAAATAAAATCACGATTCAATTTTAAACAAAGAAAAAACGTACTGCTTTCAATTTAAACACAGATGCATTACGTTAAAAAATGTACTGCAAACGCAAATGCTCAATTTGTGCGCACTATAATGGTGCCTTAAAAGTTAATAATGTTAAAAAAATTTAATGTCAAAAACCGGAAATGGTCATAAAATTAAATTGGTATATTTTTTCTCTTAAATTTTAAATATGCAAATTTTTAAGTTGGCTCAAGTTTAGGTTTAGAATATATGGCATTTTAATCATTAGTCAATTGTAAAAATTCGTAATAAATATTTGAAAAATCATTAATTGGGATATATTTAAGCTAAAATTTTTTAAATATTTATGTAATTAAATCAGAGACCTGCAAAGGTACCACTTTGCATAGCCCGGCCTGGGTTTTTTTTAAAAAAATTTAAAATATATATTATTTACTTTTAATTTTTATAGATAATAATGGCGATTTAAAATATACAGCCCGGCCCAGGTATTTCTAAAAAAAAATTTCTAGGCCTGGCCCGACCTGGGTTAACATTCTTCTGGCCAAGGTATATTTAAAAAAATTAAAATTGAGCACGACTGTAACCGGTCTTAGGGCAAGGCATGAAGGTCTTTGATTTAAATAAAAGATTAAAAAAGGTGGGAGGGGGACTATTATATGTAATTTACTTCGTTTCTAAAATTCGCACATTTTGGATAAACATATATGATGTGAAGGCCTAAGAAATGTACATCCTTGGATTAACCAGAATAAATCATTAAAGATAATATTTGCATTATCTGACATAAAAAATTATGGAATATGTTTTGAAAAATTAATATTAACGATGAATGTGAAATAATTATGCAATTGAAAAATAAATTTGAAACAACACATTCTAAAAACAAAAAGAATTTTTTACGACTTAATCCATGGTAAGGATAGCAAAAAAATTGATCAAAGGAAAGGGTGTTTTATCCAATATAAATATTCTAAAAGCTGGAAGTGTGTTTTGACTATTTTATAAATATTTTCGAAAACTTCATAGTTCCGATTAAAAGAGTCGTATGATGCCTGGTAAAAACTGTTTTATATCAATAAAGGTTAAAAGAGAGAACTAGTGTAGTAAAAAGCCCGATTGAGGTCGATTTTAAAAAACGGCCAGATTAAGATTATTTCCAAAATATCATATTTTGCTCATAGCTGTAAGAAATGCTTGGACATCCATTTGCCAAATCTCTATGCTTACATAATATTATTTTAGCTAAAATCTTAATTGAGCCGTTTTGAAAAATCGACCCAAATCAGACTTTTTAACAATACTAGAGAGAACCAATTGAAGGAAATACTAATTTTATGTTATCATAAGAAATTATATTCTAATTTTTAAAAAACTCATATTGATGTAAAAGTGAGTTTAATAAATTTGAAGATTTAAGACCAATTCTTTTTTTCTAGAGTAAAATAATTGGTTTTTTAAAACAAAAATTTATCAAAAATGTTTTTTTCCTGATAGTGTAGTTATCAATATATGAATAAAATTCATAATCTAAGCCATTATGAACTTGAATTTCGAATCAAAGCGGAATGACATTTTTTCATAATAGCCCATGGCAAATATTATTAAAAGGTTAGCAGAAAAAGTTACCTTCAGCGTACATATGAAAATCATATATTAAACACCTTAGATTTATTTAATTTTTATAAATCAAATATCACTGGAATTAATTACGCATATGTAAAAGATGATGATATGAAAAAATATCTTGTTCAAAAGCCGGAATACAAAAATTTTTGGCCACTTAGGGAAAATTAACTTAAGGTTAAATTATATTGTGGAAATTATTAAATATACAATATATAAAAATTAAATTTTGTCTTCAATAAATTATATCAAAAAATTCATTTGTAATTTTTAGTCATTTTGATGAGAGAATAAATAAGTTAATCAAAGCCCCCCCCCCCCCAAAAAAAAATAATAATTCCCAGATTATAAATAACTATTCTTTTAAATATTAAACCTAAAATATTTATAGCTTTTGACTTATATTACAATTATTGATTATCAAATATTTATTAAAAATATTTGGAATTCACTAATGATTAAAATGTCATATCTCCTAAACCCGTTCTCGGCATACTTAAAAATTTGCACATTTATTTATTAATTTTATATCTATAGATAAAAAATTTAAGAGAAAAAAACTGATTTCATTTTACCATTTCCGGTTTTTAACATAAATTTTTTATAAATAATATTTAACATCGTGTATAACTTTTAAGGCCTACCATTAGGCCATATATAAAATTTTAAATGACGCTTCTAGCTCAATTATATCTAAATATATTTAAAATTAAAGGGAGATAATTTTTTCCAAAATGTGTCAGCCGCTATTTGGAGTTGTAGGCTAAAATTTTATTTTTTTCTTAGTTATAATAGATACAAACTCTTGTAAAAATTATGGAAAAATTTGAGGGGGTCGAGTTGAAAATCGTGTTTTTATTGTTGATTTGTCTTGGAATTCATTATATATATCAGACCTGTAGGCCCGGCCTTAGCCCTGCTTAGGTACACGGGATGGATCGTATTTTAATTTTTTTAAATCGCCATTATTAGCTATAAAAATGAAAAATAAATATAATATATTTTTAAAAAATCCTAGGCGGGCCTGAAAATATAAAACCCGGGCCGGGCAGAAAAAAATTTTTTTAAAAAAATCCTGGCCGGGCCGTGCAAATGGTACCTCTGTCTCTGATATATATACATCTTTGTAAAATGTTATAATTTACCCCTCCTGATTTGGGTAATAAAGTAACTTTAACAAACGGTGGCATATCCCTTTTGAGTTCATTATACACTCGTTCTTGGTCCAAAACTATTATGAGATCGACTTTAAATGATAAAAATAAATTTAAAAAGGTATTTATTATCCAATTTATTAATAGAGACATCTAAAGGATTCATATATAATAAAATATCTATTCGAAATTATAAATCATTTAACAAAACCAAAAGCACGCAAACCTTCAAATGCTTGAGCAGCATGGGTAATCGCTAAATATCCTTGTTGTTTAACCCATCCACATGTATTTATGATAATTCCGCTTTGATTTACTAAAATATATAAAAATAAAATAATAATTAATTTTTTTTTAAATATTAAAATATTTCCAAGGTTTTTTATATATATAAAGTAGATTTTGGTTTTTGTAATTAAAACAGAGCTTCGAACAAAACCAGGTTGAGTGGGCATTTTATTAAAACCCGAATCTATTTTTTTCAGGCTCCGAACCGAAATCCAACAATTTTAAAAAAGGGTAATTTAATTATTAATCGATTTTAATTATATTTGTGATTAAAAAATTATAACTAAATTATCATATGGTCATATCAAATTTAATTCACGATATAATGATTTTGGATTTGGATTTGTTGATAATAGCAATATTTAAATTTTTTAAATTCATTTATGAATTGTCCTAATATTTTAATATATTTTCATAACTTATAATGATATTATTTTATAATTTTCCTTAATCAACTGACCTTAAAAGGGATTAGCCTTTTTTCATTTCATTATTATTTATGAATTAACCCTTTAAAGTCATGTGAGCTAATTTGACATCATCTTGAATGTTATTTTTTACGTTTAAAACCACTCAATGATTTAATTTAACATTTTTAAATAAATATAGAATGTATTCAATCGTATATACCTAAAACGAATTATTTGTTATTCGATATTTGATTCGATTCGATTCGTATTTTACGAATACGAATAACACAATTATTCGAATAAGGAAAATATATTATTCGTCGAATAATTTTTTATCTATTATTCGATCGAATTATTCGAGATTATTCGACTAAAATAATTTATAGTATTAATATAATTGGAAAATAATCATATATAAATCATATATTATTATTAGGAATTATTTGAAATTATTTCAATTTAATAAAATCTCCTAGTGGAATAATGAAAATTGCGCCAAATTTTGAAACTCCATTTTAATTTATCTCATAATAGACCATTACTTTAGAAATTTCTTTTATGATAGAGATGGACGAAGAAGGTAATTTATATAACACATAACATATACAATTATAATAAACTGTTAATCCCATCACATCAAGAATGACGGGCAAACCTGATATTTCTCTTTCATTTGATGATTGAGAAATCATAAATTTGACTTTTTGCCTAAAGTTTTTACCAATTTATTTGTAAAATATTGCTAATGCCGTGTTATCTAAATGGCGAGGGACATATTGTCGATACAGAAATCTTCAACCCCATGTGAGCG